TAAGATTTATTTATTTATGCACACAGAACTGGGGTACAGGCCAGAGGTGCAGGGACGGTGAGGGTTCACCAGAAACAGATTGGGAAGCAGAATAAAATTAACTGAAATATACTGCTGAGGGGAGCAGTGGGTCAGCAGAGGTCTGCCACACCATGTGGGTCACCTCTGGGGCTGAGGATTGAACTTGTGTTGAAGTGACTTTAGCTTCGTAGTGCTGTGTGCTTTAACCCACTATGCCATCAGTGAGGGCCCAATAGCAGAACAAATTTTCTAAAAAGCCATGGAGTATTCACCAAAATTGACCCTAGAATATAAAAATACCAATGAGTTTAAAAGAATTGATAACTTACGATGTATTCTTCAACTGCAGGAAATTCAAAGTAGAAATTCGGAGCCTTTGCATTCCCACAATGTAGTATAGCTGAGCACCTCCAAGTCTGTACTGCACATGGGGCTATCCAAGTCTCTCCCAGGAAGGTGCAGGTGAACTAATGCCTTGAGAGTGATTGGTGTGTCTGTGTGTGGAAGCTTCTGACCAATGTGTCAAGGAGTACTTAGAGGGCTATTTTACAAGTACTGACAGCATTGGTGAGTTTGAGCATAGGAGCCAGTATGGCCTTGTGTTGGGTAGTCTTTGTGCTCTTCAAGGATCCCGAGATTCTGAGGATGCACCTTATGGAAGAAATGGTGATGATTATAGACAGTGTAGACTTCTGTAACCCTAGGACTTATCAGGGTGGTGATCCAGGTGGGAGAAATGGGCCTCCTACAAAATCTGATTTCCAAGCTTTTGTTTCAGAATTTCATAGGCAATTGCCCTGATGGATCACTTGTGAGAACTTGTGGATAAGGATGGTTGAGTATCTGAGAAAAGAAGTTGTGGCATATACTCTGCATTAAATTGATGACACCAAATTCCAGACTCATGAGGGTGAAGCTTTCTGGTCTAAATTTATACAGAGAGTAACTATGACTGCTTTCAGCCTTGATCTGGGTCAAGGGCCCATACTCCTGACCAAAGCAGGGGTTTTCCATAGTACGCTCCTTTTAGGACAGGTTATAGGAAGTTTTTTATTTCCTACGTGAAATGAACTGCTTTGTGTTCAAGATGTGCATTTCAAATTGATGAGTTACTGTTAAGGAAAAAAGAAAGGAAATAAAATTATCTAAGTTCTACCTGGATCATATTAGCAATGAAACATTTTAAACTGTGATTTGGTCCAGAAACATGCTGTATATTTT